GCTCCCCCGCCCGGCCCCGCCGGGCGGGGCGCCTCCGTCCGGAAGCGGCGGTGGAGGCGGCAGGGACGCCGGTGAGCTCCCGCGGCAGCGCGACTACAGCTCCCAGCGCTCCCCGCGAGGGCGGGACGGAAGTAGCCGCCAGGTGACTCCAACACCCAGCGTGCACCGGGGCGCCACGCGGCCGCCCTGCCTGTGGTTGAAGTCCTCTGTGGAGAGGGTCCGCCGTGCGCGCGGGAAGCCTGTTCCGCGCTCGGTAATCAGAAAAATGTTTGCTAATACTCAGGCTGGCATCTCTTTCTTACTTAATGCTTGAATTTCTTTTTGCCTGCCGTTCTGGCTGCAGAAGCAACGGCTTCAGCTGTCTTTCACAGAATCATTTAGGTTGGAAAAGACCTTTGAGACCATCAAGTCCAACCGTTAACCTAACGCTGCCAAGTCCACCGCTAAACCATGTCCCTAAGCACCACATCTGCACGTCTTTTAAATGCTTCCAGGGATGGTGACTCTACCACTTCCCTGGGCAGCCTCTTCCAATGCTTGACAACCTTTTCGGTGAAGGGATTTTTCCTAATGTCCAATCTAAACCTCCCCTGGTGCAACTTGAGGCCATTTCCTCTCGTCCTATCGCTAGTTACTTGGGAGAAGAGACCGACACCCACCTCGCTACAACCTTCTTTCAGGTCGCTGTAGAGAGTGATGAGGTCTCCCCTCAGCCTCCTTTTCTTCAGAGTAAATTCCTGGCAGCCGTTTCTGCAGCGTGTGGCTCTTGCACGCATTTTCTTCACAGCTCCTCTTCAGAGTATGAGAGTTAAAAATCGGCCACAAAGTGTGTTTAGAAACTTTACTGAAGTATAGTCGGAAGGTTTTACTGCACAGAAATACATACTGAGGAACCTGTATGCGTCCTAAAAAGTTCTGACAAGTAAGTGCAAGTTGAAATAGTTTTAATTTTATTGACATTTCCTTATAGCACTTATGTTCTGTCTTGTGCCAGGAGGAAACTCTGCGTTTAGGTTTTATTTTCAGCAGATATATGCTTATAATAGTTAAATAATACAAGATTTCCAATCATAAAGAGTCTGAAAATAGTAAGTAAACTACTGGAGGTCAGTTCTGGTTTTCCGTTTTATTTTGAAGTGTCTTTAAATCAAAGAACTTTTATTCTCAAGAAAGAGGCAGCTAGTGACTACAACTCATGTCCATAGACTGAAGGATCAATACAAGAAAAAATGTCAACAGTAGATCTCTGCCTTTATTAATTAAAACTCATTATCATATCACACATTTCTCTAATACAAAGCCTTAAACTCTTCAACAAAGGAGAAAAGTGCTTCCTAACTGCCTAGTAGAATATGACGCAGCCCTATAGGATGCTGCTGCCATACAGATTGCAAATTATACTCAAGACCTGAATTGGAAGAATGCTGATTGCAAAGTCCAACATTCACAATATAGTAAATGCCAGAATAACGCTTGTTCTTGTGTGCACGGATAGAGTCTTTAATGAAATGATGGCATACTCTTTCCCCTCACCAGCACATTATGCCATATGTCATTCAAAGCGCAGGATCAACAGTGAATGAACAGCCGTTTCAAATTTACATTTATCCTTGTTGTTCCATATATATCCTATGCATTAATTACTTCATAACATTTAATCCTTGCAGTGAAATCAGGAGTTATTTATAGATCTCTGGTATTCTGGAAACCTATCAACATTACAAAAAATAAAACAAGCAGAAATGAATGCACTTTACAAAAGATCCAGTTTATAATATCTTCATCTTATTAAGGAGAAGAATGAAAGTATAGAGATATTATCAAGTGATAGTAATATTTACATATGTATTTTTTAAGAGTGGCAGTCCGATTGCCCAAGATAATCAAATTGCTTTAAATACAGAATTATCCATTGTCTCCTTGTAGTCACTTTCTTCACTCCCTGTAATCAAACTTTTCCACTGTTAAATGGCTATGATCAAAGTCTACCAAAAATATCCAGCTGAAAATACCCAGCTGAGACCACAACTAATAAAACCAATTTTTGCAAATGGAAAAAGACATAAATTAGGGAAAAAATCCAAGGAGATAATGCTTCATAAAGCAGTTGAAAACGTGTCTGACATATGAAACAGTAGATTTTACTATCTTAGCAATAGTTAAGAACAGAAGAAAGAAATAACCTATCAGTGAAAAAAATAGCCTATTTAGTCATTGTATTCTTTCCCCAACAGCAGCTACAGAGGACGCTGTAGGAAGAGTTTGGCCTCCTTCTGTCGTGTCTGCCCCTTGCACTCTGCCAGCATCCACAACTGTTACATTAGGGACATAAAAATTTTTAAGCACAGATCTTAAAAACTTGATAGTCCATGTTCAGCAGCCATATGATTACATGGAGCAGAACAGTCTTGAACATTATGTATTTGTTATTATTGTGGAAAGAACAGCTAGATTTTGAGCCATCCATATTTGTCATAGAGATGCTTACAAAAGGTCAGATTTTATCCCCTCCCTATTCCAGCCTTTGCATGTAACATCCCGAAAAAAGCACCATTTAAAACTGCCCACTTATATTTCAAGAATTCAGTCAAGGTGGACCCAATGAAGTAATAGTATTTCCCAAATCTTAAATCTTCAGTACTCATGTCTGCATTGTAGATATACCTAATTCTTTCTGTAATATCCCATACTTAATTAATCTTATGTTAATCAGTAGAGATTAAAATGTGTTTCTTTATACACAAATTTAATATCATGGTTCATGCCTATATTGACTCAAAATAATCAATACCATTGTTGCCAACCTTTCTTTCTTTCCGTAAGTAGACACAAAGAAATTATTTTAAAATAGTCAGCAAAACTTTCAATATTTGCCAGTATATGACTGTATATAGATCGAATGCATTTGCTGTAGAGCGGTGTTACATAAAGAGTACATAACGCATTAGCAGATAATACCACCTGTTTGTGCAAGAGCAAGGTGTTATCTTCCATCTTCATTCTCGATTCTTCCTTTTCTTTCCAAAACCTGCCAAATATGTGCTGCTTGTAGGAAATTAGTGACATTACATCAGTAAATAATTTTTCATAATTAATAGTCAGGTCCTACAAAGATTAGAAATGAATGTATTGAGCCGCATGCAGGATTTGACCCTAAGTCTTATTGGCAACCTCCAGTGTTTTATTCTGCTTTTGACACTCCAGGTTTATCTGTGGACGGATCTGCTGCTTCTAAGTCTGCAAATTCTTGCTCTATAACCGGCTTCAATATTTTCTCGATTTGTGTAAGTCTTTTTTTCAGTTTCTGTTGCGCAGCTTCATACTCAGCCAACAACCTGGCAAACTTTGTTTGTAATCTGTCCATCGCTCCTTCCATGTAGGTGACCTTCTCTTCCAGATCTTTAGGATCACTTCCTAAATTTGCAACTTCAATGTCCAGCAACCCATCTTTCATTAGGATTTGCTTGCCTTTTTCTTCCAGCATAGCCTTTGCATCTGGGTACTCTGTTAAAGCCTCCATGAGATCATCTTTAGATAGACAAAACAAGTCTGAGTATCCAATACTTTTTATATTGGCTGTTCTTCGATTGCCAGCTTTGCTACCTTTGATATTAAGAATGCTGATTTCTCCAAAATAGCTGCCATCACTTAGGACAACAAATTGGGTAATTCCATCATCAGCGACTACTGCCAGCTTGCCTTCTTTGATAATGTACATCTCTCGTCCAATATCTCCTTTTCTGCAAATATAATCTCCAGGACTGTATACTTGCGGCTGGAGTTTCAAAACCAGTTCAACCAGCAGACCAGCTTCACAGTCTGCAAAAATCCGAACTTTTTTTAGTGTTTCCAGGTGAACATTGATTGCAATCTCTGCTCTTAGTTTATCTGGCAGATACTTCAAGACTTCCCTTTCATCCACAGCCTTTTTGTTTGTCCACAGGTAGTCAAACCACTTTATAACTCTTTTTTCCATGTCTTTACTCACATTCCGAAAGTGCATATACTGCTTGATAGCATCAATCCTTGCTTGAAACTCTGCCCTGGCAGCATTCATGTTGGAGATCATAGAGCCCACATTACCAACAATGGTAGCAAAAATCAATACTCCAACCAAGAAGTCAACAACCACGAAGAAATACTCAGAATCTCTTACAGGAGGGGGCGTTTCACCGATAGTAGTCAGGGTCAGTGTTGACCAGTAGAGACTGTAGACATACTTCCTAGTCAGACGGGCAAATTCAGGATCGGAGGTGTTGGGGTAGACCCATGTGTCAGCCCCAAATCCAATAGCTTTCGAGATCGAGTAGTACACACAAGCGTTCCAGTGAATAATAATCACGATATACATGACAAGGTTAGAGATCCTGAAGATATTTGGGTAGTTCGTCCTTGTTTCTGTTCGCTGGAAGAATTCAAACATCCGAGCTACTCTGAGTAGTCTGTTTATTCTTAATTCTGGGTAATTCAGTCCTAACTTAAAATAAAAGAGATCAGTTGGTATGACTGACAGAAAATCTAATTTGAATTGAAAAGATGACTTATATTTCTCTTGAAGCTTTTGTTCTTCTTTCACCAGAAGACCTTGCTCCAGGTAACCTAAGATCGAATTGTAAATAATAAAAAATGTTACGACTTCAACTGTGTTGTGTTTAATGTCAATCCAAATCTACTTTGAAATATATTTTGGGTGCAAGTTCCAGATGGTACATAAATTCTCTTACTTTTTAACAAGCAATTTCTTATTTCCAAATATTCAACTTAGTGCTATATGGCTCAGCTTGAGTTAAACTA